TCACATGATAGATAGACTGATACACCACTAACCCAACCGCAGAACAGTCGATCGTAGGCATCCAGGCTTTTGTGGTTCTGAAAGTCCTTGAGAGTATAAAATGGACTCGGCTAGAATGTTAGGTAGTCAATTCACGAGATCCTAATAAGTACGTGATGGGCACAAGTTGCGGTTCTTGCTCCATTCTCGTACGGGTGTCGATATCCAATGCACGCAATTTTCTCGAGATAGCGTGCTTTGGCTACGTTGTCTAGTGAATGAAAGTACTTGTCTATACTACGTACACTTCAGACAGTTGGCAAATGTGCATACACCAGATATTATAAAAAGCTGCGTTTGATAGCTATATGCAGTAAAATCGGTGAAATTTCAGAACACTCGCGATGTAAACAAACTCAAGTCCATGATGATGATATGTGTTGCGTGCAATCTCCCGATCTGCTCAATCTAGCAATCCGTTGATTGTGCGGCAACCTCATCGAACTCTCATAGCATCCCAACCCACACTAATAACCTGCATGCAAAACCCTACAAAACCTGGTCTGCACAATCATATCGAAGTCTAGCACCCCAACACGCGCTGGTAAACCTGTCTGCAAAACTGGGATCCACTTACTGCTAATATAGATTACTATAATAACACTATCGAATGTACAATCTATCGATGTAAAATTGGTAGATTGCACATATCGGTAACACATGCTCGCTCTTTTTGGAACCGTTATGGCCGGCGGCACGGGATTGTAGTTAATATTGCTATTTATAGTGCAAGTCGCGGAACCCTCTATAGTAACTGCTTACTATCATATTCAAAGCACTGTAGGGTAATGGCCATCTCTATGCGCCAATTACGGCAAAATGATATAGCAAAAAGGTAATCAACAGTGAACAATTTTCAGTTGAATGAATTCAAAGTAATAATTACATCTGGCTATGTTACATGATTATATAGGCCATTCATGAAACCTGTTATTATTGTTGTGACACTAAAGTAAACGTCTTAAAGTCCCATTTAACAGTAAAAAACTAAACGACACTACAACTACATACATACCTTAAAAACACGATTGCAGAAGTTCTGCGTATAATCGTCAAGGTGATACAGATGGCTACCATGCTTTGCTGTTTCCGTTTTATTTGATCCGGACGATTATTAACTAGTTTGAGCTTATAAACGTACCACAGTCTATGTTACTGTGGTTACCATCAGTAGATTGAACGATTTTCCCTATTTATTTTACTAAACGGGTTTTCTCTAAATAATCAGTTTAAATAAAATGTGGCATTAAAATTCTCGTATTTATATATTTTTATACAAAATTTGTTCGTAAAAATGTTGTAGACAGACATTAATACAAGTGAAGTGTACAGAATCGTAAACGTTCCCATCAGTGCAACGTTGGGTACGTAATGCTCCACCTTGTCTGTCCCAAGGATCAATTGTTATACAGGTCTCATGGAAAACATGTTTTACGTTGACAAATTTACGCACACATTGAGACGTTTTACAATAAGAAAAAACTACTGCTAATAATATTGTTACATTACAACGTAATAATACTAACGTTTTGCAAAAAAACGTATAATGTCGTTTAAATGACGTAACCCTGCAAATTTTAACAAAAACTACTGCATATCTAATATGTTTTGCGTGTAGGCAATATCGTATTGACATTATTACTCACATAACCAAAATACGCAGTCAACGTTGCAGTAAGCTGTGTGTTAGCTGGGTCGTATTATCCTTCCATGACAGTGACGTCTCTACAACTAATCTTAAATCTAACCATAGCTGGTGGCAGATATTGAATTATCTTGCAATGTTTTAAATCTAAGATATTTCTATTTTATCCACTATTATTTATTAGATATCATTATATTATATCACCATTCATTTATTAAGACTTACTAATCGCTTGCTCTGTTATTAATCAACAAATCGTGGCAGGTGCATTGGTGGAATGAAACCCCCTGTTTGGCTCACCTTATGATCGAATTTGACTGTTTCTGCAAAGGGATAAAATTACGCTTTTCAAAAGCCTGTTACAAACTAATGTGCAAGAATCATTGGGTGAACATTGGTGATTTAAAATCAGGATAATGTATTTAACTTAATTATAACCAGGTTTAAACTTCATGCGATGGGGTATCAAACGAAACCAATTTTCTATACTTATTTTTCCACTTTGGCCCATTGCATATGGCACATATAATCTCGGTTGTAGAGCATTGAAGCGACTCCCTTCTGTTAGGTGGATATGCTGTTCAGGTTTTAGTGTGGTTGTTGGAATATAAGTTTCTGAATCAAGTGAAATATCAATAGCCTTCTGAGAGATCCCGCATTAATTAAGTCACATGGAGTTGTGTATTTAAAAGACGAGCCAGGGCAAATCAACCATTTACTGCAGTGACGGTCAGGCATTTTATTCCTTGATGCTTGAGGATGCACTGGGAAAACATTATTAGTCAATGTAATCTAAGTTGAAAAACTTTATTCCATAGAATACATAGCCTTCACAATGGCATTAATTGGTATTGCAGTGACGTTAGGAATAGGAGGCAGAACCCTACACTCAATTCCACCCCTCATTCTACACTAATTTCAAAATACCACTAAATGTCCACACACAGGATACCTCAATGTGTGCTATAAAGTTACAACATAAAAAAGTAGTTAAGAACGAGCACATGCAGCAATGCATTATCCGGAGGCCGACGACGCAATCGCGGCATCGCCAAAAAGTGAGAGTAACCTCGTTCTGTGGAGAGTCATTAAAGGTAGTAAAACCATGTCCAAACACTTACGTTACACATTTTTCTCAGTATGAGGGTCCAAAAGTGGCCTCTCGATAAAACCCCAGGACTCCGGCAAAATAGGAGTGGTAAGCTAGATGGGAAAATGTACGAGGGCTTCATAAGAACGTTGCTGGTTAGAGAGAAGAGAGTGTCAGGCCACGGTTGACGTGCGTCGGGCAGTCAGGGTTTTGAGGTGACTATGCAGGCTCTGCGATGTATCCCGTACTAATATCAAGAGCTAATAAACACCTAGAGTATACAACAGAACAACGGGAAATAGTGCTATTTCACGGCAATATTATTCTACTTTGCCTGCGAGTCTAGAATAATTTTATAGTATTGCATTAAGCAGAATTCTTTGCTATTTAAAACAAGACCAATCGCTTGTCAATACGATATTGGCTCGTAAACTTCCTCTCCCACAGGCCTCACGGCGCCTCGTATTCGCAATATTCACTATCCTTCTCGCCTTTTGCGGGTTAGGAATGTCGCTTCGTGAGAGTTCGGTTTTTTCCGCGATAACTTTATGAATGAACGGCGTTTCGGTTATCATCCGTGACTTTCGGGGGCATCGCCTATGCCCTTACCTGCCATTATCTTTCCTAGCACGGCTAATGCCCGTCATGATGGAGCCGGCAATGTTTTCTAAATTAAGTCTACAACGCAGCTCAGTTACTATAATGGTGTAGTAAGAGTACCAAATTTGGGCATGTGACATCAATTATCAGTGCTCCAAGCGGCGACGGAAAATATAGCCAGACGGATAGCCAGACCCGTAAAAGGCGAGAAGGGTAGTGAATATTGTGGATGCGAGGCGGTGTGAGGCCTGTGGGGGGGGGGCATGATTACGCTCCAATATCTCGGCAGAGGAGTATCGTAGAGACGACCGGTTGGTCTTATTTTAGAGAGCAAAGAATTCTGCTTAACGCAATACCATGAACTTAGTCTAGAACCGCATACAAAGTAGAATAATATTACCGTGAAATAGCACTATTTTCCCGTTTTCCCGTTGTACACTTTAGGTATTTATTAGCTCTTGCTAATATATATAGAATAAACATTATATCTATATATTTTTTATATCATACGCGATGCATGGGATCATCTCTGAATGCTGATTGTAGAAGACGACATTTTCCATCCCTAATGTGTCGTTTATAAGATATTGCAGTCCTCATTTTAAATAAGAAACACCCTCGGTCTGTTGCCTGCAGCCAAAACGTTGCTTTAATTTGCACAATATTTCCAGTGGATGGTCTCAGTGGCGCCACCATCGTTGTAAGCAACAGTATAGCCATCACTTTTAAAACTTAAAAAAAAATTCGTATGAATATGAAACCATGAAACTTTATATGTCGCGTAATTTTAACCTATTTTAACTAAATATATCCAAATTACCTAGTATAGAGTAATGTATCTCTTTAACCTCACATTGCTGTGCATTACTGCCAATTCAGACGCATTTGGTGGTATATATATATTTTTATGTGGTGAATTCCGTCAAATTGTTTCTGTCGTTAAACATAGCACACAAGCTGAACATTTCAGTTAAGTATATATTAGTAGCATCGGTACAAGCTCAGAAAACTGATCATAAACTGACGTCAGTGTAACGCGAGTGGAACTGTCGAGCGCTGACCAGTCTAATACAAAGATACACGGCTCCGTCGGAACGTCAACGTTTTTTATCTATATATTTCTTCAATAATATCGTACTTTAATTCACAGGTGCCTTTCTGTTTATAGAAACATATAAATATGATTGTGCTAATTTGGGATATTGTGCAATGTTTGTGTTAATGCAGAACATAAAAACGCACGACTGTTGACATTTTTCGCGTACTTCCCAATGGCGCGCCGAGGCAATGTTATACCGCTTATATCATATATATATATATCATTATATATTATATATTATACATTATAAATATATCATATATAAGATGATTTAAAAATGCAGCCTCGCATGATTCAATTTTTAATTCCAAACCATTGAATTGTATTTTCTGAAAGCACCTTTTTGAACTGATGTCGGATAAAATTTCCATACTCCTGTAGTTATTGAGCTAGGGGTTTCTTCGGCATTGAGTTTGTTCAAGGATGTTATTTTTATTTCGGTCTATATGAGTCATTTTGCCATGATCAGCTTATTTCTTTGTCATTGGTTAAATTTCTTGCTATTGATTTATACTCATTTTTAACAGGATTTACGGACCCAGTATGAAGATCTAGAGCGGAAGTATCCAGAAGGAGGATCAGTGCCATTACCAGCTACCTGGTAAGTTCTGAGCCAAACCCCAGCCAATCCAGGCTTTCATTTTTAAGGGGCGCGATCGCGCTCGCGCTCCACCGCGCACGCATAAATTGTGCCATGGTGCGCGGATATCGCCGCCTCATAAAAGTGGTTGAAATCGCCCGCACCAAAAAGTCTGTGTATCGATCGATCGTGTACATCAAAAGCGCCGCGTCACGCGTGGCCTTGAGGCTAGTTTTCCCTGTCCATAGAGTTGTCAATGTTGCAATGGATCGCGAGCCCTGAGTGGAGTATCTATTCTAGCCCAACTCTAGTTTCAGTAGCCAATGAGAATGCAACTTTCATACACCCTTCGCAGGGCTCAATTTTAACAGTCGTCCGGTCGTCCGTGACGACTGGATTTTCTCTCGGGCAACTACAAATTGCTTCCGTGGTTGTCCGGTGTCCAACCTCTATAAAAATGTTATATTCATAATGCGTGCGTTCATTTACATACGGCCAGGGTTGCACAATACGCTGCAACGTACATTCTAGACGCATTGTCTGGCTTGCTTGATACAAAGTATAACATTAACGTGTTTAACAACACAATGTTTCGTGTTAATTTTCAATTTTTCGTCATCGTGACTTGACACATACAGTGTTAGTATGTTGAGTATGTTAGTAGTGTAATGTTAGTAGTTAATGTAAATGCTATGAAATAAATTTTATGCAAATTTTAATTACTATTATTATACGTCATTGATCCCAGCATCTTTTACACATTACCAATATTTTATTATCTTCATATAATGAGTGAAAACATGCGAATGGCCATGTCTGCTGTCACTGCAATACGTACAAAAGTACATGATTTAGGCTTTGCTTTACAGCACTGAGCATCACGTGAGCAGAGTGCATGCAGCACATGTTTAAATAATATCCGGACAACTAAAACTCTTGAGGGACAACTCCGGACAACCCAAAAAAAAACTTAAAATTGAGCACTGCGCCTTCGTCGTATGGCAGACCTTTTAAGAATGGCAGACCTTTTAAGGGTGTGATTTTTAGTGGAGCTCTCCATCATGCCTCTTAAGGGTGTGATTATGGAGCGTGAAAAGTCCCCCTATGGTGTTCTAGGGGAGTCATTAGTAGTCCTCCTGTACTTTTCAAATCTGAAAGCCTGCAATCCATGAAACAAATCCTGATTATCTGTTAACCTAATATCTCTATGGTACGGCCGTGTCATAGTATTAGATTTGCAAGAAAGAAACACGTTTTATCCTTATTATATATTAAATTCCCTGTGATTTCCCCATACCTGTATCAAAAACGAAGCGAGCACTGAAAGTCAGGTACTATAGATAAATGTGTATTTGAGCATCCTAAATGTTTGAAATGCACAATATATCCCAAGTGTATGTTTAAGAGTGCGTGATCTATAATTATACAGTATTAGATTTGCAAAAAATATGGTTGTAGAGTAGATTTAACATTAATCAAATGCAGTTATCCACAATGCAATGTTAAAACATTGTCAATATTAGGAGATAACATAGAAAGACATTTAAAGATATTTAAAATTATATTGCATTTATTAGAAATATTGCCTGAAATCTATTTTTGTTTTCTGTTAAGGGGTGGCTACAGACTGGTTCCAGACAGATGTGAATTCTGGCAGGGTCAGTCAAGCAGGTTACATGACAGGATACTCTTTTTACGTGGTAACTCTGTAAAAGAGTTTGATTATTCTAAACTGTCTCAAGGGGAGAACAGTTGGTGCTACTGTCGACTCTTCCCATAGGCAAGACATAGTAATAAACGAATACTAAGCCTATTAATATCTGCAGGGGTACATGAGTTATAGTTTTATTTGCTTAGATTCGGTAGGACTCATGATAGTGACATGGCAATTTTCCGCAGATCTGTGAGAAAATTAAGGGGGTGGGATAAGAATTTACTTTAGTTCATATATTAGGAATTACGAAGGCGTCTTCCAAACCACATCACGATTGTAAATTTCTATATTCTTTCCAGAATAACTATAAGCAAGACAAACATGAGCATAAGCATAATTTCTATCAAATCATACAAGACGCTTCTATGTATGTAATCTGCTGGAACCCAAACGAAAACAAAAACAGATATGGAACAAAAGAGAAATTTAATGTAGTTTATTTTCACTACAGTAGCATTAGAACGACACAGATGCATGCGCATGTGTAATGTGCGGTCGAAAATACGAAATGTTTTTTCTCAAATGACCTATCCCGGAAGAATTCGTGGCAAAGTTCCCGCATGCACAGACTGTAATTATGAACTGGCTTATAGTCGCGCTGACAGGGCGCGATTATTTAAATTTTCTTGATGCGACCGGCGTGCGAGAGCAGAATGGCGAGACTGCATTTGCACTGGGCCGCCAAATCATTGCAATAGTGAGCACAGGCACTTGGAGCGTTTCAATAAAATATAATGCTAAATAAATACGAAATCTATTTACTACCAAAGTCTTAATGTTTCTCTACTCGGTTTCGCCTATTATTGCCACCGATTTCCTGTAAATGCCAGGCTAATGCTCCTCTGCAACACATACAGCGCATGCACGATGCCACACACTGACACATATGTAAATAGTGCCTGTGATAGTGATCGTCTGTGAAGCACAATATTCTGTCTACGGCCATACCATGCTGAAAGCACTGGTTCTCGTCCGATCACCGAAGTTAAGCAGCGTCGGGCCCGATTAGTACTTGGATGGGTGACCGCCTGGGAATGGGCCACGACCCCCCTGGGTACTAGTCTGAGGTCGTTGAGAAGCTCGATCACCACCACCTTCGTGGTGATCAGGACGCCGGCCCTCTGCGGAGTGTGAAAGTGTCGTCTGCTTGTGCGCGGGTGTGTCCTAAATCTAGACCGTTTCATGTTTGTTTTTGTTGTTTATTTTCTTATGTTTTGTGCGCGTCTATTTTGGTTTAATTTTTATTTTAAAACGATCAAGTTGAAGATAAAAGTAACCGAGATATAATGTATCCTTTTCACACACAATGATATCATAATGAAAGTTTCAATACATTGAAACATTAAAAAACTAGTTCATAAAAATTAAATGTATTTACTCTGTCAGTTATTCCTGCAACCCAACGATTGCAAAAAGAAAAGAAAAGAAAAGGAAAGAGTTGTTTTGTAAATACTGGATAGCACAATAGTGCATAAATCCCTGTCAGTCATTGCAACTGAAGAACGGCAGAATATTAAAAAAGCAGAAGAGTTGTTTGGTAAATACTGCAAAGCACAATAGAAATAGCGTATAAGTCTCTGAACGTTTTAGTTACATCATATCACACAATAAGATAATATTTCTATATGAAATATGAACATTTTTACTTATTTCAAAATACACATAAAAACTGCAATATTTGCCATCTCTGTAAGATGCAAATTCATGAATACAACATTTGGCGCTGCATAGTATTACACTAAAAACATGTTAATCAGTTCAACATATATCAGTTCATGAGTTTAAGCAAAAACCATGCTCTGACTACCGCACAGATCATTTAGCACACATAATGTACGACAGTTAATTTGTCAAAACTAATTCAGCTCGAGTTGAAATGTTTGGCTTCATCTGGCAATTCATGGCACATAACTCTGCATTGAATACAATCAATATCATGCAGATCTAAAAATGACAACTCTTGTGACATGTGTAAACATATGAATATAAAGATCGTTTTTATAAACTACACAGTTAATTATCTTATAAGCAGACATACAAACGGCAATAGCTGATGTTTTCAAATTTGTGAATAATGTACAAATATTGGCACTGCAAAAACACCAATATTTGCCATCCCTGTAAGATGCAAATTCATGAATACAACATTTGGCACTGCATAGTATTACACTAAAAACATGTTAATGTGATGACTATTTTTGTTCTCCACAGCTCTTGGCCACACTTCTTCGCCTCCCTCTCTGCAAGCCTTAGGGTCGCTCCAGACCTTGTCAACCACCTTTTGCTTGTCATCCATCTTCCAGACGCGATCGCCCTCCTTGGTGTTCCTCATCTGTGCCTCTCCGTCTCGATACAGAGGAATCTTGGGGTAAAAGTGGAGCTTGGCATGCCGGTCGAGATGGTGCTTCAGCGTAAACCGGCTCCCGCATTGCTCGCACTTAAACCCCCTCTCCTCGTGAATCGTGCGGTGTTTGGTGAGGTTTGATTTAACACCAAACTTCAGCCCACATTCTGGGCATTCATGGAGCCCCTCCATTACTACAATACAAGCAGTGGTGGCAAGAACGGCAACAATCCAAACCTGTTGTACAAACAAATAAAATAAAATAATCAAGTAGACACCTAGTCTAGTGGTAGATATTTTAGAGAACGCTGATTTACAGGGGAGAAAAGAAAAATAAATACATTCATTTATTCAGTAGATCAATAGTAGTCAAGTAGTGCTAATACTTTTACTTGTATAAGCACAATTAACCCATATCCTGCCATATGTATGCATGCTAGCCTACGCTTTTTTCGGGATTGCTATCTGAATACAATATATATATATATACAAAATATTCCGACACATGACTCCTCTTTCCTTTCCTGGACCGGAGTGTATTATATATATAGTATGTATATAATAGAAAAAGATCGTATGATAATAAATAATGTAGTGACGGAAACGATATTTTGCAGCGGTACCCCGATATCTGTGGGAAAGTAGATTTTTGTGTTGGATGCCAGATTTCCAATGCTTGGTATGCTGCTTCGTCAGTTATACAAAATTCACACTATTTACAGCTAATGCTGCAAACTGGCAATCACAGCTTCACAATGAACTTATACGATGCTAGATGAATAAAAGCCACATATTTTATTGCATATATACCTTCTCTGTTTCTGGCGGAACAGAAGTCGTAGACGGCTGCTATGATAAGCAACAAGGCCAACAGTGATCCTGTGATGATGACGCCGACTAGCCAGTTGGTATCTGCGCATGAATTATCAGCAGCTAATTAATTACCATAACCTTTCCTTATGCTTTATGTGAGACCTTGACATTCGCATGTTTCACTTTTGCAATTTCGATTATCAATGAATCAGTACTATGCAGCTTCATCAAGGCACAGATCAAACTATACACTAACGTTTTAGAAAGCATTTGCCCTAGGTTACAATCGAGTGTGAATTAGGATTAATTATCAGGTTGAACTGCTTAACACGTCACAAGCTTACGGTGTGTTGGTGCCTCAGTCGGATAAATTGCATGTTGACACCTGTTTCCACCAACTTCTGGTGGGCACCTGTAATTTTATATAACCCTTTTACAATAAAGAATGGCTGATCAGATAGGTACAGATAACTATAGAGACATATATGACTATCTACAATGTAACCTAAAACCTTGAGTCTAAACACGCACGCAAACGCTCACTTTCTTTAGCAGGAAATGATTTTTTTTGCAATTTTGACACAATAAATAAAAGGCAACTACTTAGACAGCTCGCTAATCATGCTCATTCTATAACCCATTTTACCGTAGAAAATCTTAAGTGGAATTTATATCGTACACAAGTGCTTGCATGTGAATTTTCTAATAAAATGTAACTATAAGCTAGCAAAAAGATGCATACTGAATCACACAGTGACTAAATAGGAATGAAACTGAATGACAGGTGGCGTAACTTACGAGCAAATCAGACCGTATTCGTTAACGGTGTAATTTCCGCCGTTCTTGCAGAAATCGGCCATGCGTATTCTGTGAATACAACCAAAACATGACACGCGATCAGAGATGGAACCTTACTCACATAAGCGCTTTATGTGCAGCTATGCTTTGGTGATTTCTGAACGATCTCTAAACAATTTCTAAACAATTTCCTTTAACACACTAGTGGATTACACACCGAATGTGCCCATAGGCTAGATCATTGTATGCTATAGCCACAATACACTAGAGGAGACAGCAAGCATCTTAATGCACACGTACCAGAGCAGAACATATCTCATCTGTGGTATATCAGTGAAGCAGTTTGTGTCATTGCTGCAGCGCTCATCCAGAGGAATGCAGTGGTTGATCGAGTCGCGACAAAAGTATAGTATCCATCGTTGCAGGTGTGATATGCTACAGGATATCAACGGAGATCAAAGCGGTGTTAGACACATTTCACACAGCTTGCATTATAGATATATTATATAATTTGATCAGCATATTCAAATCGGCAGTATTACTATTGCTCATAGGGTGTATGTCACCCAGGGTACTTCCGGAACGTACCCTCGGTCATATTGCCAACCGTGACCGTGCCAACCAAATGCCAACGTTGGCCCAACGTAAGCATGCTATCTGGTGTATATATAATATAGTTCATTAGGAATTTATCATGGGTCACTGCCTTTCCCCATAGGATTAAATTGTATTAGGCAGACCACACCGGGCAACCTTAGTCTTACCACTTCTTGTGGTGATCGAGTGTTAATTACAAGATTAAAGTTTACGAATTATTACCAATAGTAATACAAACATATCGATTATCAAATAATAACACGAACATAGTAGTACTAGAGTAATGTACATAGTACTAGTACTAGTACTATAGTACATAGTACATAGTACATAGTACTATAGTACTATAGTACATAGTACTACTACTAGAGCTAATGTAGGCTTATTATGTTATGTTATGAGTTACTTAAACACTAGATACAATAATGTAACCCAAACCCAAGAGGATAGGGTATAATGAATCCCAAACCCGGATAATGAGGATAATGAAACCCAAACCCTATCCTCTTGGGTTTGGGTTACATTATTGTATCTACTTAAACACTTGTTATGATACCGTACCATTCTATTTTTTCCGGTAAGAAATGTGACAACGCTTACACACATGTGTTGGGTATAAACCTTGTTTTGTTATTTTAAATACTACACAGTTATTATATTATATACCGTTAGTAAAACGGTAAACAAACCTTGTTTCGATGTACTGCTCCTAGTTCACAATAGTATCTCTGATGTTGATGTTTACCTCTAGTTTCTAGGTAGGTAGTGACTGCCATCTATCGGTAAATCAGCGCAACAAAATTGTCTATTAAACAAATCTGTGTTTTAAACTGCTGCTCGCTCCTACCTCAATTGTTCGATCGTGCCCCCATCATGTGACTAAACCGAGAGGTGGGTGCGGGTAATCGTCTAAGCTCGTTGCTCGACTCTGCTCAACAGAGCTCAGTGATTAGTCTTGTTGAGCAAGGTTCTTGCTCAACAGAGCTCAGTGATTGGTCTGTTGACCACGGCTTTAGGGAACCATTTCACAACCTTATTGAACGTTGAAAACCAACGTTTATTTACTGTTTGCATTACCAAGCCTATGTTTAGGTTCCTGACAAACGATTTACCATAACTAAACGTGCCTGTATATGGGTGTGGCCGTGTGGGCATGCGTGCGTGTGCACGGATGTACATGCGTGCGTGTGTGCGTGCATGCTTACGTATGTGTGCGCGCCCGCGTAAATATGAATAAAATCAAGAGCTAATAATACCTCAAGAGCTCATACCTCAATAATAAATCAAGAGCTAATAAGAGGTATTATTAGCTCTTGATAAAAGTGCGCGCGTGTGTGTTTGTGTATGTGTGTGTGCGTGTGTGCGCGCGCAAGTGTGTGTGCCTGTATATGGGTGTGGCCGTGTGGGTATGGCGCGTGTGTGTGTGTGTGTGTATGTGTGCGTGCGTGCCACCACTG